TTATAAGCATTATTGTCAAAAAAAAATATGATAAAATGTATGAAAACACATCGTAAAAAAATAATTGCATTGAGAGAGGAACGATCAAAATAAAATACATCCTACAATTATTTTTCAAATTTATGTTCCATAGATTTCATTTAAAAATTTGTATTTATTGATAAAATCAATTTTTAAAAATTTAATTAATCTACTATATATAAATTACAAAACTTTTTGGATAGATGAATCTATTTTAAAATATCAAAATAATTTATTAAATTTATAACCTAAGAAATAATTTGAAGAATAATGGAAAGTAAATTAAACTTGAACATGAAACATATTTTTAAAAATTTGATTCCATTTTTTTAGAGAGAGAAAAAGGAGGGAAAACGGTGTGCGAGAGAGAGAGAGAGAGAGAGAGAGAGAGAGAGAGGGAGGGAGAGACTGATTCCAAATTCTATGTTCACTGTGATTCGGAAGCAGAGTTTGAATTTACTTCAGAAAAATGTAGAATACATTTGTTTACCATCATCTCCTTTGAAGTTGCAGAATCACAGAGCAGTTCTTCCATCACTTCTCTGTGTATTCAGATTCAAAGTCGATTATTATTCTATGAAATCTTTGATTTCACTTTCGACGTCCTTCTTCTTTGCAGATTTCACAGCATTTTCCTCACCATTCTCACACTTCGCACTGTTCGCGGCTTCGTTGGAGCCTCCTCCGCCTTCTGCCGCAAAATCACTATCAAATCAACGAAAGCGTTTAGTATGTATTTGTACGATTTTTTATCGTTCAGATTTAGGAAGCTGAACAGAAGTTCTTCCATAAACTCCCAATCGACTTTCTTATGTTGTTTCGTATGAGCATCCATCATCTCTTGCATCGATTGACGAAATTCCTCTGACGGATTCGACGATTGTCTCAAAATCACGATGCAATCGCTCGGAAGTTTCGGATCCTTGCCTCGATCTTCACAGATCAAAGACGAAGAACTCGATCCGGCATTTTCCAACGATTCTGCTTGAGAATCGTCCGGAAGAGATTCAGATAAGCCAGGGGAGAAGAAGAATCGATGAGATCCATCGTAAGAATCAACTAGAGATTCAGGTGAAACTCCTCTGTGATTCTTTCCATCTCGACCTCCTCCTCCTCCTCCGTAAGAATCAACCAGCGATTCAGGTGAAACTCCTCTGTGATTCTTTCCATCTCGACCTCCTCCTCCTCCTCCTCCTCCTACTTTTCTCTCAACACATTCTTCATCCTCTTTCAGGTACAACGATCGGAAGTTCTCGAAGAGAAATCGGTCGACATCGGCGAGCGTTGCTGCGGCGTTTTCATTGTTACCAACGCCGTCAGTTTCCTTCTGATCGATAGCGAACGACAGGGTCTTTGGATGCTTACAACCAGACAGAATCCAACTTTTTGAAGACGAAAAAGTTTGGGGATTAGGAAATTGAATCTGCGGCGTTGGCTTCTTGATCTTCGCGAGGTAATCCTGAAGCGATTTCTGCAATTTTTTGGGAATTTTCTTTTTGTTCTTTAGATTCATGGCCAATTCGGATGAATTTAGCTTTCTTTTTGGTTTTGGTGGGAAGAGTTCCGAGAGAGAACTGATTCTTATAAAGAAAAACAAACCAAAGCAAAAGAAAGGAAGTAACATAAAAATATTAATGGCCTAAAAAATACGTTTTATAAATATAAATTTTTTTAAAAAAATATTAAATTAAAGGGATGGAATTCAACGGCAGTTGGTTGACTTAGAATTCCAATATTAATTTAATTAATTTAATTTAATTTTACCCTAAACATCGAACTTAGTCATTACTAGAAGAATTAAAGCCCAAATTTAGTAGAATGTAATTATGGTTTGTGGGGTTTGATTTGAATAAAACCGTAAAATAAATTATTTATTTATTTAAGTTTATGGTGGAATAAATGAATTCTGCCTGAATTTAAGAAAATTAATAGTTTATAGTCATTTTCTTGGTTTAATTTTACTTTGTTTTTTTATTATTATATGTATATAAATAAATTTGTACCGACTAAATTGATAAAAATATTCATAAATTTTGTATTTTATTTAAAAAAATACCTCAAAATTTTTATAAGTTTTAATTATCGTTCAACTTTAAAAAAAGTCTTAAAAATACATTAACTAAAACCGTTAGTATTTTATTAAATATGTTTTGAAACTGAAAAGTTAAATTTTTAGTAGTACTATATTAAAGAAATATCCGTAAAATTTTAAAAATATCAATAATACTATTTACCTTTATTTAAAAAAAATATTGTCGTCAATATATAGACGAAGACGGTTTATCAATACGTTATAAACTATGTCCAAATTTTTTCTAAAAAATAATAAATAAAGAGTATCAATGAAACTTTTGAAAATTATATTTTCGAAACACTTTTAAAGGTTAAAAAATATTTTTGAAACTCTTTTGAAAGTTGAAGCGTATTTTTTAAAATCAATTTTTCTATCTAAAACTGAACTGTAAGAGTATTTTTTAAAGAAAAAAATTTAAGTTTTTTTTTTTTTTTTTAATTTAAGAGTATTATTGAAACTTTTGAAAAGTTAGGTATATTTTTTTTAGATGAGGAATATTTTTATTATTTTAAGAATAACTTGAAATATTTATGTAATCTTTTATTTTTAATTTATTTTGATCTGATATAAGATTAAATTTAAGATTGAATTTGTTGAATTTGAAAAAATTGTTATGATTTTTGTTTAGTAGAAGGAGGTTAGAAGTGATGAATGTTAAATAAGTATTAGGATTTGTTTACCAAATAATTGCATAATTTTTTCTTATAATATAAATGGAAACTATAATCAATTTTTAATTTCTCATTTTTAGAAAGTTCTTAAAACAGAATATGAAATCTGCATTTGGCCACAAATCTACTATACTTTAATTTACTTACTAATAAACATATTCAAAATTCCCTTTTTATACATTTAACCAACTAATTTTAATGTCATCTATTAGTGGTGATATATACTTCCTTTTTCGAAGTTTAAGATTCAAATTTTTCGAAAACCTTTAAAATAATAATTTTGAGACAATTTTAAAAGTCAAACTAGATGTCTATAGTCAAATCTACTCGTTTAGTTGACTAAAAGATTAAGTTTTGAACGAGAAATTTCATTTTAAAAAATACTTATTTTTCTTGAATCAACTTTGGAAACATTCCAAGTCATGGTCAAGTGACTAAACAGCCTTTCGACCCAAATAAAAAGCTTTTTTTTTTAATTCCTAAGGAAATTCTAAATGGGTTTAGTGTATAGTTTGAATTTGTAATGGATTGTATGGTTATTTAAATATGTATGAGATTATAGTGATGGATGATGTGGGGAATAAGTGGGCATTATTTGTTTTGTTCTTCAAGTTCTTACCGGTGATGATTGAGGATGCAGTGGTAGAATAGAGGTAGAGAGCATGCCTATGTGCAGTGGAAATCCAATTCAGATTCGACTTTTGGTCAATTTTTTAGGTAAAAATCCAAACATTTGGAATATTAATGTTTATATGGAGAGTGGTCTAAGCGTCAAATTCAAGTTTTGGTTCTTCAAATACCACTTTTGATATTTTTTTTTTATTTTTTTAATTCAAAAATAGACTAAATTTTAAAATTTTAATGTAGAATTATCAGTTTTTTTATTTTTTTATTTTTTATTTTTAATGTTAATTAAGTCAAGTCAAATGGGGTAAGGTGTTGGACTTAATGGGGCGCGTAGATGGCTTGATGTGACTGTGACTGAAGGCCTAGGAAAAAACGGGCTTTGGTCTGTAATGAGGATTGGACAGAACTGGGCTTGGGTCCTTGGGCCTCAAAGGCTTCCACCATTGTCTGGCTAGGTGCTACAGAATAGATTTTGAATGTGTGATGAATGTGTCGAGATCATCTACGGTTCAAATTGTACGACAAAAAACTACTCTCGGGAGGGGAACAATGGCTGGAAACGGCTGCGTTTAAAATGTACAACAAAAAACTACCCTTGGGAGGGGAACAACAGCTGGAAACGGCTGCTAATACCCTGTACGCCGAGGAGAAAAAGGAGAAATCCGCTCGAGGAGGGACTCGCGTCTACTTAGCTAGTTGGTGAGGCAATGGTTTACCAAGGCGATGATCAGTAGTTGGTGCGAGAGGATGATCAGCCGTATTGGAACTGAGATATGACCCAAACTCCTACGGGAGGTAGGAGTGGGGAATTTTCCGTTTCCGCAATCCCATGACATTGAGTTCTATTTTTTCTTGTTTAATGAAAACGGGTTTCAAGATTTGAGGGTGTTGATCATATTTTTATTTTTTAAATTTTTGACTAAAGTATAAGTTCGGTCTCTAAACTTAAGTTTTTATCTAAAAGATTATTACACTCTTACTATAAACAAAACTAAATTCGAATGAAAACGATCCTAATGATAAGATGACTAAGACATAAAAGGATTGAAAATCACTAACTATACAAATAAGGTACACCTTCGGTGGCTCAATCATAGAATCACTACCTATACACATAAGGTGCACCTTCGATGGCTCAATTATATAAGCTTCATAGTTAAACCTTTCCTAGCTCAATCATAGCTTCATAGTTAAACCTTCCAAACGTAGTTTACTAGAGCAATTTTATGTTGAGTGACATGTGAGTGAGGACAAATCAAGTTGGAAAGCCTTATGTTGATCGGTAGGGATAGTTTTCACTCTTAAACAGCAAAGAATAGATAATATGGCCATAGTGAAGATAAATGCCACAGTTATTAGGTACCGAATGCAAATTCCGTGTCATGGGCAATGTCCATAAGAATGATTTGAAGTTTCATAGAAAATACATATATATCATAATAATAATAATAAATTTTCATGTGTCAATGCCTAAAACCCTTCTGCCTCCTCCTACCCTTGACTCAAAGTCTGGCTTCTTCCCTTCAAACAGCATTGTTCACACTAATTCCCAATGCCCAAAAACTAATCCCTTTTTCTCAACTCCAAACCAACTCTTTCTTCTTCTCTTTTCTCTCCTTTCCATTCACACTAATTCCCACTGCCTTTGGCTTCGCCGGCGGCAGCACAGGAGGCTGTCCGGCAGCAGAAAAGGGGCAGTAAAACAAGTGTATTTGCTCGCCGACGAACCCACCCAGATCCTTTCAGCTGTAGAATTCACCAGGGAGATTATAAATGGGTTACTCGGCTCTGCAGCTGCATTAGCTGTGTTGAAATAATAAAGTGAATTAAATGAAACGTAATTGTGGTGCCATGAATCGTGCTCATCAGAATCTTCTCAAACAGAGAAATTTATGAACTTAGAAGATAAAAAAAAAAAAATGGAAATACAGAATTCGCCACTAGAATTGGCTCGAACTATAAGAACCCATTAGAAAAGTGATAACAACCCGATTAGAAAATTAAAAGATGCTATGAACTATATATATATATATATTGTGACTATAATACTATATTTAAATATCATAAAATATAACAGAGAGATTGAAATAAATAAGCAAGAAGAATCAAGAGAAACAGAAACACCTTTTAGCTTGCTTCCTCTCTGTTCATGTTTATGTTCCAACTCGTGCGGTTGTTTGACTCTGTGGCCTGTTGGGTAGTGGCTGTGATATTGATTTTAAGTGCCTATACATGCGTGAACAAGCAAGAGAAAACTCGAACAATGCCCGGAAAAGCTCTGGCAGCTGGTTTTTTAGGCTCCCCAAAGACTTTTCCCTCACATGGAGGCATAGCTTTTGGTGCTCTTCCCTTTCCTCCTCCAACCTTTTCTCCACGGCCTCCACTGCAGCTTGCCGCTCTGCAATGGCGTCTTTATCACCAGTTTCTTCTTGGTTCGCTTCATCGGCATTTGGCGCTCTCCGCTGCACATACTTCTTCTGCCAATCCTTGAATTGCTTACTTTTCCGGGCAAGCTCCTTCTCAGTCTCTTGACATTTTACCTTCAACTTCATCTCTTCCTCCTGGCTTTGCACAATGGTGTTGATCACGGTTGCAAAAGTGAATATGGCGTTTCGTAGGACCTCGTCCGGGAGCTTTTCGAGATGGTCCTGCCAAACATGGAGGAGGCTTTGAATTGGAGGGCTGCGGACCCTTGGAGGAGAAGAAACCTTCTCCTTCAAGCTGCTTTCAGTAGGGATCAGATTCAATCTCAACCAATTTGAGAGAGCCTTAATGTACTCTTTTTGACGGGTTACAAGCTTCTCCAATTGAGAGTGCCACTCCTGCACCACAGCCCAAAGCTGCACCGTGCGCTCATGGTGGTGATCACTTGTTTCCTTTGGCGACTGAGGTATATCCAAAGTTCTCAGAGCAGCCACGGCCTTCAATTGGCCTCCATGGTGGAAATGCATGATTTCCCACATACTAGCCATTCTACAATTCAACCCAGAACTTGGTTAATCTCATCATTGTTGACACACTACCTACTTTTTTCATGTTTTATTTTCAGAACACAATTGTTTTCAAATGGGATCTAAAGTTTTAGAACAGAAGAGCTCAGTATTACCCATTGACAAGCTGAACAAGTTTAGGATACAATTGTTCATCTCGAATCCGGTTGATCTCAGAGACGGTGGAATCCATGGATTGCATGTCCACAATGTATCTGGTGTGCAAATGGCTGACAGTGGCCTTGGCTTTCTCGATTGCTTCAAAATTGGAGCCTTTTTTCTTCAGTTTGTTGAGTGCAGCAACCTTCTTTTGGTACTCAAACTTCATGACTTCGCCTGCCTATTCAAAAAACAGTCAGAACAAGTGATTTTTCATGGCAATACATGAGAAGGATTCAATGTTTATAACCTTCACTTCTTCAAATAGTTTCTTCTCCCAGGCAAGCAATTTATCCAATACAGTGGCATGAGTTTCATGCTCCTCTGTGTCAAAATCATCATTCAAATCATCGTTGTTGGGCAACCCTCTAAATGATCTGTTCCATGTTATAACACGCATCACTCTAGCAGAATGATCGATATGTCCTGAGAGATCAAATTCCAAAAACAAGTCGGAACAGTTTCTCAAGCAATAAATTAAAGTTCTTCTGTTCCCCCAAACGATTGAATGGTTAATTGTAAACTTGATATAGAAATCCAGACGAATACCTCGATTATCGGCAAAATTTGAGTGGAAATGAAGCCGAGTGGCTTCGAGCATCTTCGAAACATCGTGAGCACTTTCAGAGGCTTTAAGAAAATGATCATCAAGCTCCATGAAGATCTGCAGCAGACTAGTATTCCCTTTAACAGCCCTTTTACCCTCGATCGAACATGGAAAACCTACTTGCTTCAACTTCTTCGACGTTTTCCCTGCTGAAGACGACGGCAGTTCTCCGCCGGATTTCTCCACCGCCGCTCTCCGCTCTATCGCTTCCGTATTAGTGCCAAAATCCTCGACGCTGCTCAACGTCGGGGCTGGCATGTTTTCAACTGAGAACAGATAATCGTAGGTCGCATCCTGAGGCGAGGGCGAGTGAGCACGACGGTTTTCGTTCGGAGGTGGAGGCCGATTCAGTGAAGGCGGCAATGGCGGAGGCGGACCGTTTTCTTCTTCCGCAAGCTCCCCAAGGCCGGTTCTACCGCCACGTCCACCGCCTTCTCTATTGCTTCTCCTCCGCAATGGACCAACCGAACATTCAATCTCAAAATCATTCTCATCCACCTCCTCAATAACCGTCTCCACACGCTTCGGTTCAACCTTCGAGGCCTTGATTTCAAACATACTCGTACCGTTCCGAAGCGGCATACCGGGGGAACCAGGAAGCGGAGGCGGCGGCGGAGGCAAACTATTATAAGACGCCGACGCCGCCACAGCTGCCGATTGAGCAACAGCTACACCAGGAAGAGACGACGCAGCTGGCGGTACCTCTCCATGAGCGTAATCGCTCAAAACAGCGCCAGTATTCTTCAACGACATAGCATATGAAGAATGCGCCGCCGCAAAGGCATTCCGAGCAGCGACAGCTTCTTTCATGAACATCTTCCGATCCTTACATCGCGAAACCACTTCCTCATTCTCGATCTTGGATTGTGAACAACCCATCGGAAAACAATATAAAAAAAACTTCTCTGAGAATTGAACATGAAGGTAGCCTGAGCTTTAAGACAAATTTAAGCGAATCAAGATCTACTTTACACTTGAGATGTTCTTCGATGGGCGGAAAAAGCGAAGCGGTTTCTTTCATTTCTTCGTAGCAATTGTTCCTTTAGAGAGAAAAGGCAAAAAGAAGAAAAAGGTCGCACTCGCAGAACAAAATGGAGAGGACGACATCATACGTCGTCGTTTCAAACGCCTTTATACTCCTCTTAATTTTAAATATAAATTAAATAATATAATTAAGGAAAAATATACCTTAGTTGTAAATATTTAATTGGTTTTGGCAACTTAACGCAAGGTTTTTTCTTTTTGATATTCCATTTTGTTATTATCATTGACCCGAATAATTTCTTTTTTTATTTTTTTTATTTTTTTAAATGGCTAATCGAATTTGATTCTTTTCCTATTTAGTTTCACTTTTAAATCAATTTGAAATTACCATAAAGTATTCTTTTAGAAGCTTTACATCGCTAATATATATATATATATATATATATATATATATATATTATAAAATTATTATAAAGTAATCAATTTCTCGATGTGTTTTTTTTTTGTTAAATATAAAAAAATTTCCACGTATCTCCCCAATAACATGATATTATTTTTTTTATTTTATTATCTCAACGTCGGAATTTAACCTAACTTATTTGTAGGTATTAGTTGGTAGGTTATATCCTATTTGAACGTTGTACCCAATTCTATTTCTCATTCATATATTGTCTCAATTCTATTTTTCATTCTTATTTTATTTTTTAATCCATTCACACTTGAGTGGCAGATATTGTGTCACTCGAAATCCCACATTTTTAATATTTTATTTATTACTATTTTAAAACTTAAATTTTACATTAAAAATAATTAATATTTTCATTAACTTTAATATATTATCATTTAATTGGACTATCTAATCTATAACCCGACTGACTTAAATTATCCAATCCAAATTATAAGGGTTGGATTTAGTTAGATTTTTTTTCAATTTGATTGGGTTGAATTTTTTAAAAACAAAAAATGTGGGTTGGTTTGCTGGTAATATCTATTTAGACGAATAACTTAACCGACCTAAAAATAGAGTCACAATTTAAGGAAACCCTACTTTTTAATATTATTAAAAAATGAAGAATATTTGATATTTGAAGGGTATGTGTCGACTATAAACATAATTTTTAAAATAATAAAAAAAAAGACAACTCAATTCTATCCAGCTGGACAACTTCAGAATTTCGAGTTATAACAAAAGGTTTCTCTAACTCAAGTCAGTGTACGTCTGTCATTTAAATTAGGGCATTAATTTTGGATGAAATTGCCTTTTATGTGAATTTCGAAAAAGAAAATGTGGGAAAATAGATTGGACATAAATAATGACAAGGATTTTGATGATTTTGAGGAAGGAGAAAATTTGTCTGTTTGTTTAAGAATAAAGTGGGGGAAGAATAACAGGGAGTGGACCAATCATGAAATCCTTTGAATTAACGACTCCCAATGTTGTCTTCCTTCTTGTCGTAGATTCTCCGACAACCCAATTACTTCATAATCTCTCTGTTCTTGTAACCAAGATTAAAGTTAACTAAAAAAAATGGCTCTGAAAATATCACAATCAACGTGGATCATCATCATCATCATATTACACCCTTTTTACATCAATTTTACTGCCTTTTCTTCAAGCTACACATTGTAATTGCAAGTGTGCAATTGGTCTTGTTCGATTTCGACGTCGTTTACTTCTCTTTGAGCGATGCAAACCGAGCTGCGAGCTGGTCGTAGTCCGGGAGCTTTGGATGAACGTAGGAATTCGCTCTAGCGTGCTTTTTCACTGGCTCGATCGGCTCGGTTCGGGGTGGGGGAAGTGACAATGATTTGGTTGGGACATAAGCGTCCTCAGTTCTTGTGTTTTTGGGCCTTTGAGGTTCGGCATTGTCTTTGTCTTCCTGTCTTGTTTTCTTCTTACTGTATAGCTTCAAAAGCCCATCTAACATCCTTTCCTCATCATCCTCTACACCTTTTTCTTCTCCTGTCATGGCTTCTTTACCTTTGTTTCGACTCGAACTGATCTTTCCTGCACCGTCGGCTGCCGAACCACCAGCATCGTCGATGTTGATGCTCCTTGCAGGCTGTGGTTTCGCATGTCTTCGCCTCACCGATCTCGGTTTCGGCTTCTCTTCTATGGCTGTCTTTGGATCGTTTCGGTTCTCTTCGGTATCGTTTTGAGGTTCCTCTACATTTTCTTCCTTTTTGGTAGGTTTTGTTTTAAGGTAGGGAGGTGTGATAAATCTAAGGTAGAAAGGTTTCTGATCTTCTACTTCATCCTCTGAAACAACACCTTTATGAACATCTTGATCGGTACTACTATCTCCCATCGAGGTTTCGGTCGTGTTGCCTTCACTTCTACTATCGAAGATGGAATCGTCGTCACTATTGTCCTTTTTTCTTGGTGAGTTCGTCGTTCTACCGTACACCGGAACCGAAACGATCTTACTTTTGCTTCGACAGGTGGATGTACTCCGTTCACAATCTAGCTGTGAAGAGAATGACCATTGCAGTAGATAGAACCATCAATAGGATGAAGAGAGATCAACACAAACAGATAAGAAAATGGATCATTTTCATCAACTCCATTCAAGGAGTAAGCCTCGATTAACGGGAGACTGTTCAGAGGCTCTATGGTGTACTTTCGTTCGAGGGGAATGATCATGGGTTTATAAGTAAGGAATACATCTCCATTCGTACGAGACCTTATTGGTGAAACAAAAAACAAAGCCACGAAAACTTATGCTCAAAGTGGATAATATCATACGATTATGGAGAGTCGTGATTCATAAAACAAACAAGATCAGATACGTGGAAACGAACTTACTTCATTTTGTGGAGGAACATACAGTTGCTGTTCCAGAGCTTTGGAATTCCAATCAATGGCGGATTCCTGTGCTATCTCCTGGAGTAGCTGAAGCTTTGTTTCTTTAGTTTGAGCGACTGCCCTCAACTTCTCAACAAGCTAAAAGGAAAAGCAAGAACTAAACAACCATTTAGGATAGTAAAAAGAAGAAACTCCCTCAAACAAGAGAAGGGTTACCAAAAACAACCTCTTTGTTAGTAAATGATCCAAAAGAAGTTCCATATCTCTCAGTGAAGAGACTTCGGAGCACTCGCAATTCAGGCAAGTCGGAGAATCTCGCTGCAGCGTAAATCAACGACGCAACCGCTTCTTTGCATTCGTCGGGGCATTCGCTAGAAGAGAAACATAAACATGGGAAGCACGTTTAAATTCATCTCAACAAATTCAAGTCTGAGAAAGAGAAATGTACTTACAAATCAATGGTATCTACCTCTCCTTATTCAAGACAGAAATGTGCTTGAAGATTGTCCCACAAAACTCATCAATCAGATCATAGCATCTCAAGACATTTTGCTCAACAAGAAACCCTTCAGCCTATTTCACCATTAGCATAAGCACATAGACTAGCGACCAAAACCAGAGAAAATAAACCAAAAATTCTCTTACAATCATCCGAACACAAAGAATTAAGAACAACCACAGAACACAAAAGACATTAAGATTATGTGTTTCTGATAGATTTTACATTTACTAACAAAGAATCAAAGACGAACAGAGATCAAGAATCTAAAACCGAGATTAAGAATCAGATTCGACAAGAAGAACTAACCCTGTTGTAAGCATTGTAATCGAGACGGCTCTTGAGAAGTTCAACAATATCGTTCTTCAAAAACTTGAGAACGACTTTCTTCTTCTTCCGAATTGTATCCAGACGAGTCTTCGTCATCTTGACGCAAGATTTGCTACATTAGAATGAAAAAGGGAAACAGAAATCAGTAAGAAGAACCGCCAGAAAAGTAAGAATCAGAATCAAAATCAATCCGAGAGAAAAAGTTCAACGAAAAGCTGCGAAATACCATTTTGTATAGAACTTCGGCTTGAAGAACATTCTGAACATTTTGATGGCAAAGTAAAATCGACAGGAAACGGAACTTTAGGGGTTAAAATAAGGAAGAAAACTGAAGAATCAGGCAAATGGGGAATCCAAAACCCCAACAACAAGGGAATACAAGAATTTCTAAATTGAAATCGGTAAAAATGCACTAAGAATCTAGACACAAGAAAACCATAAGAACAAGAAAAGAAAGAAGAGAAATAAACCATACGCCAAGAAAGAACAACTCCGAGTGAAGGGGAGTTAAAAAGAAGAGATGAAATGGAACAAATCCACATCCTCCATTGAAAGACCATCACAACATCATCAAAATGATGGCCGAGAAATCAACCAAATGGAAGAACATTATGAACAACATGCACAGAAACGATAATGCAAGAGAAACAGAGAAGCTTCACGACAAAAAACATACACAAAAAACAGTAAACAGAGAGAGATAGAGAGGAAAGAAAATGGCGGAGAAGAATCTGAAATCCGCGAAACAGGCACTCGAAGATCCCAGCTATGGAAGAAGAAGAAGAAGAAGAAGAAGAAGAAGAAGAAGAAGAAGAGGGAGGTGCCACGTCGGACGCTGCCTTTCCATCTAAAATTAAAAACGCGCGGATCCGTACGCTGGGTTGTGAAAAGACCAAAATACCCAAAAGTTAAATAATTTATTTATTTTTTTGTGAAAATTCGTTGGGGACCGTATTCGGCAAGGCCATTTGGAGAAGTAAAATCCAATGTGATAATTAAAAAAAATAATAATAAATAAATAAAATAAAAAGAAAAAGCGAAGGGACGGGAATTTAGCGGGGAAGACAAAACGTGCAGCCGTCCGTTCATAGCTGCCATTCCCTAACCGATTTGTTTGGAATTTTTTCATTATGACAGTTTTGCCCCTATTTAAAATTTCGGCCACAATCTTTTTTATCTGATTTATAAAATAAAATAATGCAGTGTAATTAATTAATATTGGATTATAAATTTTTATTATTTGTCATCTTTATCAACAAATGGTTCTAATATATAAATAATTGTTTTTAAATTTTAAATTGAAGCGTTACAAAATTAAATCCATCCCAAATTATTTTTAATTTCCCGTGTTTTTTTTGTAATTTAATATACAAATTTTTGTTTTTTTTTTAAATAAAAATAAAATAAGGTTTTATCTAAAATAATAATTCACACAGCAATCACGTTCCTATCACGTGCACAATGCGTTGTGGTGTCTATAAATAGCAGCCGATTATAAATCCTTGGCAATCGTTAGACGTCAATTGGCGCGCAGGAGAGATCTCTGTGTGATCTCTTCGACGCGGGAGAGGCAATTTCTCAGCCGTGTCGGCCAAGGAAGGTGAGTCATTTCCTTAGGGTTATGGAAAATTTTAGCGTTGTATTACGATTCCATCTCGGGTATGGTACCATCGTTATCTATGCTATGATTTATAATCTTCCTTTTTTTTTTTTTTTTTTTACCGATTTAAATCGCGGTATGGAGAATCGGTCTTTGTAGGAGGGAAAGCAAAGGCTCTGAAGCATCCCACGGTTGATAAGAAAAATTACGACGAGGTATGCTTTGAATTTGTTGTTTTATGGATCTTTATTTTGGATGCAACTTTTGGGATCGAAGAATTTGAATCTGCATTACTTTTGTTGTTTGCTTGTGTGTTCTTGGGTAGAAATCACGATACTGGATTGTTTGTTCTTGATCGTATACTGGGGTGGGCTTGGGGGCGATATTGGATGGTTTGTTCTTACGCCTTAGGTGGAGTTTGCCATTTAACTAACGAATCGACAAGTCAAATGCCTCTTTTTTTGTCTCAATCTAACAGAATGCGTCTCCACCTTGTGTTGTGCCCAAAGAGAGTTTCTTCATGTTCTTTGCAAATCTGTATTATTTGCTTCTTCTTCCCCACTTGATCATCCCAATTCTACTTATCTTCATCTCGGAACCAGAAGACTAAAGCACAATCACTCCTATCATAACCTGGCTCGGATACCATTTATAACGGTCCAAATCCACCACTAGCAGATATTGTTCTCCTTGGGCTTCCCTCAAGGCTTTTAAAACATGTGTGCTAGGGAGAGGTTTACACACGCTTATAAAAGATGTTTTGTTCTCCTCCCTAACCGATGTGGGATCTTACAATCAAAAACAGCTCTCGGGCCTACTTTGGAGCAGTCGCCAGTGTCTTACTATGCCTCTCTCATTCAATCCTGCATTGTCCAAAAGGCGATAGAGCCTTGAATACAGCTTCACCCTCGTGTATGACAAATGGGTCTCAGATTCGATCTTTACGGCATCTGCAACTCTTTGGCAAAGGCTCATATCTTGTTCGATAGAATTTCCACACGAAATTTGTTTCTTTGGAATGGACCATATGAGGTTGCGATTTCACTTTACCACCAAAATCAAATCTACGTGCTTTTGCCTGATAATTTACCTTCCCATTGCTGCCATGGAAGAGGGAAAGAAGATTCACAAAGATGTATTACGTACTGGGTTGGAGACTGATGTGTTTGTTGGTGCGGCCCTAATTGATAAGTATGCTGAATTCAATTGGGTAGAGACTGCTCGATAGGTGTTTAAAAAAATTGTTGAGGGATGTTGTGTTGGAACACCATGCTTGAAGCTTATTCTCAAAATGGACAATCAGATGATTCCCTTGCTATTTGCAAAGTGATGGCGTTTGTTGGCGTGAATCCCACCGTGAGGATGTTAGAAATCACGACTCTCCACAATAGTATGATATTGTCCACTTTGAGCATAAGCTTTCATGGCTTTGCCTTGGGCTTCCCCAAAAGGCCTCATATCAATAGAGATATATTTTTACTTACAAACCATCCTTCCCTAAATTAGCCAACGTGGGACTCCCTTCCAACAATCCTCAACAGGGGGCATTTGTCATCCCCATCTCAACTTTAGCTGACAGTGTCTTTCTTCCTCAAAGGAAGGAGCTTCATGTTTACTGTTGGAGGCATGGATTTGAATCGAATGACAAGGTGAAAACTTCATTGGTGGATATGTATGCCAAGAATGGCTCTATAAATGTTGCTAGGAGTTTGTTTGAGATGTTGGAGGCAAAGAGGATAGTCTCTTGGAAGAATGCCATGATCACTGGGTATGCAATGCATGGCCATGCGAATGAAGCTTTGGACTCGTTTGAGGAGTTGAATGGAAAAGCTCTACCTGATCTTATTATAACTTTCGTTGGAGTTCTCGTTGCTTGCAGCCGTAGGGCTGCTTGATGAAGGGAAAAAGTACTTCAGATCAGTGGTAAGTAGACAATTGATCAGTCTCTACACTTGTATGATTGATCTCCTTGGTCATTGTGGTCACTTGGAAGAAGCTTACAATCATATTATGGAAATGAGTAGAGCCAGATGCTGGCATCTACGGTCTGTTGCTTCACTCGTTCAAAATACATAGCAATGTGGAGATGGGTGAGCTAGCATTAGGAAGCTGATTGAGCTTGAACCCGATGATGACAGAAACTATGTGGTTTTATCGAATATGTACACGCTCAAAGTGGTAAATGGGAAGGAGTTGCAAGACTAAGGGATCTCATGATGTGTAAGGGATTGTAGAAAAGTATTACTTGTAGTTGGATAGAAGTGAGAAACAAAGTTCATGCCTAGGGAAGTAATCTATGACGAGTTAAAATGGATAGGGGAGTAGATGAACGAAGCTGGATAAGCGCTGCAAATTGGGTACAGTTCCCTGCAACTCACATAACCCAACAATATTTGGTCCAACTAGTTAACGAGATCCATGACTTAACAAGCAAGGAAATATACCCAAATTTAGGAAGGAGATAAATTCTAAAAGCTGTTGATATGAGGACAGTTTGAAGTAAAAACATAGCAGTGGCTTCACCTGGCCACCATCACCGAGACTGACATAGTACTCAATGAACAAATTTCCTGTGGTGGCTGTGCAGGCCGTATGAGCCGCCCACTGTCGACCACCTCCAGTTCAAGCTCCGACGAGTTTGGGTTTTGAGAAATGAAGAATGCAGGCTGCTTGGGAGGTAGAACTTGAGTAGAATCATTGTTAATCATTAGATAAACATCCAGCATCGTCGGCCTGTCTGCCGGTACTTGTTGTACGCACAAAAGACCCACATGGATGCATCTTAGAGCTTTTGGTTTCTGATCAGAGTTGCAAAAATCCGAATCAATCAGCTCTTCTCCTCTCCCATTCACCCACAGCTCCCACGCCTGAACACATTAAGACTATCTTTCATTAGAATTTAATTCACACTTCAAACTAGCAAACACACAACCTTTCTCCCAACTCACATATCCTATGAGATTCAATGGCCGTTCTGTGTCATAATTGTTGTAGTTCTTTTTGCCTGTTATGATCTCCAACAATAATATTCCAAAACTGTACACGTCTGACTTTATCGAGAAAATGCCCTCCATTGCATATTCTGGTGATATATACCCACTACAAACAAATGGAAATATAAGATTCAATAAATGAAAATATATTAGATACATCAAATAAAATTCACTTACTATGTTCCAACCACCCGACTTGTGTTTGCTTCATGCTCGGATGGTTTAAACACCCTAGCCATACCAAAATCTGATATTTTTGCATTCATCTCATCGTCTAGTAAGATATTGCTAACTTTCAAATCTCGATGAATAATTCGTACTCTTGAATAGTAGTGAAGGTAGAGTAGTCCTTGAACTATCCCTTGGATTATGTGAAAACACTTGTCCCAGTCTAATATTAACTTCTTCTCCGAGTCTATATGTATTCCCAACCGTTAAGAGTAAGAAGAAAATATTTAAATGGATGCATAGAGAATAAAAGTAATGACTGACCAAAGAGGAAGGAGTCAAGGCTTTTGTTGGGCATGTACTCATACACCAACAATTTCTCTTCTTTATAAATGCAGCAACCAATCAGCCTAACCAGATTTGTGTGTTGAAGTTTGGCAATCAAAATAGTTTCATTCTTGAACTCCACCAATCCTTGCCCAGAATTCTTCGACAGTCTTTTAATGGCTACTTCTAGGCCATCACCCAAAACTCCCTGTATATATATATCTATTGATTAATAAAAGATCAAATAGTAGTTTAACGTAATCTTTCAGAAAAAATACCTTATAAACAGGCCCAAAACCACCTTGTCCCAGCTTACAGTCCTCTGCAAAATTGTTTGTGGCAGAAACTATGCTTTCGAAGTCGAAGAACTGTAATTCGGGATTCTTTTTTCCATCTCGAATTTGTCTTATCATTATTCCTAGAATGTTGAAACCTTCGGATATAGCACCTATGCCGCGAACCAAACCTTTCTTCATTTTTCTGATAACTGTGGATGAAGATAAAGATTATAATGTTTTCAATTCATAGAAATGTATCCAATGAAAAATGATTAGTATTGATTTACCTTTCAATATTTGTGTCCTCCATTTGACGTAGGACATAAAACAGAGTAGGAGAAATATTGCAGGTATGCTTAGACCGATAGTAACTTGCACCCAAACCGGCAATCCTCCTACACGGACAACAAGTTCACTAGTTAGAAATTAATAACTTCTAGATACATAACTTAAGAAGTTCATGCAGGTTGTTTTTTTTGTTAAGGTACATGATAGACGTTTATGTTACTAGATGACTCGAACCACTCAACCCAAATTATTAAAATTTAAGTTGAGTTAGATTTTTTCGATTTGGATTGAGTTGAGTTTTTGGGAAACTGGTTTGTGGGTTGGAAGTTTTTTTCTTTTTTTCTTTTTTCTTATTGAGTTAGTCCGACCAACTAACAAATAGAGTTGACAATTCAACTTCATCTTAGTTACCTTTGTCATAGCCATAAATCTCACAGCCGCTTCCATCTTGGTTCGCATAACCATAAGCGACGCAATCACAATCAAGAAGGCAAATATTTTCGCATTCAAACATCGTTAGGTTCTCACTTCCATTGTACTTAGAACCCTCTCCCTCCATGTATCCAGAGATCCACCAAAAGGAACTACGCCCACACTCTGCCATTTTCTGCTGATTTCTCCACACGCACCCTTCTTCCATATTGACGAGCGTGCAAATTTCGTAAGAAATTCGATTGTTCATCTCCAAAGTGGCACCATCTGCTAATCTCAACTTGGGTAGAACCACTTCTGATAGTCGATTGAAGCTTGGTGTTCGATCGAATTTGGGGACATAGTAAATGAAATATGTTTCATTCTCATTCGAAACTCGGTTGAAATAGATTTCTTTATAGTAGTCGAGTTCCGATAGATTTTCAAACCAACCGTCTTTCCACTCCCCGCTGCTCCAATACACACCACCCCTAAACAATATCTGTATTTGATTAGTATTGTTTGGATTCATTGCCAGAGCGAAAGCTCCCGATGTAGGAGATTCATCGCTACTCCAAGATGTTAAAGACCAAGCATATCCAGTTTTATGATTGATTCCAAGTTTCATTCCTGGAAGAAGAGTGTCCGTTGGATGATCAAAGCTCTGCCACACCACCCGTTTCACCAACCCATCTTGGTTCAGCTCTTGCAGTACAAAGTCACCGTCATCTTGCAACACGGCACTGCTACTGATTGGCTGTTCGACATCGTAGAGTGGAAAGGAATAGCCATGCCCATCTACTATTTTCAAGCTGCCGTTGGCGTCGATGGTGAGGCTGATCGACGCATAATTGTTGGGAAATGGAGAGTCTCGGTTGGCTATCCATACTGGCTTCTGGTGCTTAGTGTTGTAGGAGATCCCCAAATAAGTGGTATTAAATCCAAGCACAAAGCTGCCGGTGGCTGAAATTAACTGAGACCCAATTGTTAGCTTTTGGCCTTGTGTCAGTGCATTGTGCGGTGTCGACTGGGAGTGGGAAAACTCTGCCAAAAAAAGCACTACAAAGCAGTAGCAGCAGCACAGAAAGCTCTCACTCCCAGTCGCCATTACCGAATTTCTCTTATACTTGTTGATTGGGAGCCCATCTGTGGGTTTTTATCAATTGAGTTCTTGCTTTTGTTAGCATAAAACTGGACTGAATGATATTGCATTTTGCCAATAAAAAACACTTGGAACTTGGACTCAGGGGAGCTAGAAGAACATAAACAATGAATTCAACAATGGCGGGCTTGACCACCCAGGGGAGCTCATTCAAAAGGAAAGGGACTGCTTTAGGAAGAACATGGCATGATTTTATATTATTGTTGACATCATAGAAAGAAAATAGGGTTTGGAGTTGGTTATTTTATTATATGTTTCATCGTCAAAAAAAAAAATTAAAAAATTGGATTTGATTATTAAGAAATTCGTGAATGAGCTTGAGCTTTAGTTTCTTTGAATCTCTATAGTTTGTTCTCGAGATTCCTTTTTTCAACTTGTTGTATTTGTTATTAGGGCTGAGAAATGCGTACTCATAAAAAATGTATCATGCTTGTTGAGACCTAAATTCACGATTGTTCCATTGACTCTACTTTTTTTTCGAGTAGGATTGAATCTATTGTACTTCTCTACACATAGTCTATGCTCAATGCACGTAGTCCCACTAGGCAGGCTTATTAACATACCTTTAGGTCTGACTATGAGCAAGCACATACTCACGTGGTTGAAACCAACGAAAGAGGAATGGAATTGAATAATAACATGGATTCACACGTCCGTCCATAATATAGGTAGAAAAGTAATTCATGAGCAATAAATGTATAAAATGCACGAAGTTCCATATATAAATTCATGGTTCATCATGCACATAATACTCTCATAAATATCATAACTTGAATTCTTTACAAGACGAACATACATGTTTATGACATTTTGAACATAGTAATAATACATTTTATATTATGATATCTCGTATGGCATAAACATAGTCATAATATTATATCGATATTTGAACTTTATGTCAAGATGTCCTGTCGAAAAGTGGGTCACTTTGTTGACATCTTTTATAAAAAACCAAAGAACATTAGAAAAGATCAAATATGTGAAAAGGACGATCCCATGGCTATCAAATGGATAGATAGATGCTTGGAGTTTGTTAAACTTCTTTGGTAAAAAAACTCTTCCAATTCACCCTTGGATGGGATGGGACATAGAGAATGAACAATAAAAAGTTATTCCGTAATAAAAAGTACGTGGTTCTCTATAATTTAGTATTTTTTAAAAAATGTAAATTCTCATTTTTTTGGATCTATATTATTCAAAAAAGATTTACGAGAATCACACAACAACGCACACACTCGATTTAGATAAACATAAAGAACACTCAATCTAGATAAACATAAAAAACATGAGATAGAAAATGCAAGGAGCAAAAATTACAGATATAGCCTCTTATTAGATATACAGTTTAGTAGATTATAAACAGCTTTATCAGATATACCATTTACTTTATATGCCATTTGTCAAATATAACTTTACATTAAGTAAATAGTTTGTCTTGAAACCTCGTGTTTCTAATAAGGAGATTCGAGCGTCCAACTTTCTAATCTTATAAATATTAGGGATAAAGAAAAAGTTATTTGAAAATACAATATTGTGAGGATAAGAAAGGATAATAATATTTTATTTTTATTTTTTTTCAAAAGAAAATGGTATTTTTAAAGACTTTGTTTGCAACTTGAACTTAGTTGCAGTCTTTTAATACATTAAAAATAAATATAGAGAATTTTAAAAGATTAAATATTAAATTATTATTATCTTACTTAAAACATGATAAAATGGGATTAGTGCAATGCTAATTGGCATCTTTCAATTTTTTTTTTTTTTTATTTACAATCTTCATTTTTAGCTACTAATTTAGGGTTTTTTCCCTTTCTAAATTAAGGTTTTATTTTATTTATTTTTATTTACTTTTTAGTCCTTCAAATTCCCTTCTAAATTATTTTGCATCTACTCCCTTTTTAAAATTAGTTTTTGAGGTTATATGCAAAAATGAGTTAATTCAACTAATTTACCATTTAATTCCTTTTTTTACAGTAAAAATTTTAAATTTCACATATATATATATATATATATATATATATATACATACATACATACAGGACATCGAGATATGAGTTAGTTTTGTTTCGATTGGATGAAAGTCCCACATCGACTAATTTAGGGAATGATCATGGATTTATAATCAATGAATACTATCTCTATTGGTACCAGGTCTTTTAGGGAAGCTCAAAGCAAAACCACGAAAGCTTATTGTGCTCAAAGTAGATAATATCATACTATTGTGGAGAGTCGTGCTCGTCTACAGTTACATTTGATTATAAGGTGGACACTCCACACGGTCAATGCCTTACCCATCGAAATTCCTATCTTGGAGTTTTTATTTTTTATTTAAAAAAAAAAACTTTCAAATCAATACATTATTTTCATTTCATAATATTATTTTTATAAAAAAAATGTAAACAAAAATAAAATATAATATTCTACTAATAATTTCTAAAAATCAAATTTTAATATTACAACAAAAATTCACTAAAATATTCTACCAACTTTCTTTTTTCATGTTTTTATAAAAAAAATTCCATATTTTTTTTAAAAGATAATTTCTAAAAATCAAATTTTATTATTATATATATAAAAAAAAATCCAATACAGTATTCTACCAACTTTTTTTTTTGGCATGTTTTTTCATTAAAAAAAATTCCATATTAAAAAAAAAAGATAATTTCTAAAAATCAAAATTTAATATTATAATAAAATTCCAATACAGTATTCTACCAAACTTTTTTTTTTCATGTTTATTTTATAAAAAAAAAATTCCATATTTTTTAAAAAAGATAATTTCTAAAAATCAACAAAAATCGAATTATACTATTCTACCAAAATTCGCATTTTTTTTTATAAAAAAAATTCCATGCTTTTTAAAAAGATAATTTCTAAAAATCTTACACAAAAATCCAATATAATACTCTACCAAAAAAGAGTTATTTATTTATTATTTTTTTATTTTAATTTCAATATAATATTTAATCACCCTAATTTCTAAAAATCAAAATTTAATATTACAACATAATATTTCATACATTAAATATTATTTAATTAAAATCATAGTATCAAAAATTTAATAATAAATAAATAATAATATTTATATAGACGGGAAATATAATCTCCATCTTCGGCCCTACATCTCGTCCTAAAGTTTGTTGGTCGTTGTTGTCTTCATCCTTCTTCTCTCTTCTATCATATAAAGGAAGCAACATTTGTGCCTTCTCTTTCCCTCACCTCTCCACGCAATTCTAATTCCTGCCTTTCTCAATATTGAGCTCCGACATGAACTCCGACAACAATCGAGCTGCTCTTGTAACGGATTTTTGGCCGGAGTTCGTTGCAAGCAGTTGGGGTAAAGAATTTGTCGCCGGCGGGTTCGGTGGCGTCGCCGGCGTTATCTCCGGCCACCCACTAGATACTCTTCGTATCAGGCAACAACAATCCGTTTCTGGGTCTGCTTTCAAAATTTTTCGTAATATCATTGCTAATGATGGCCCCGTCGGTCTTTATAGAGGCATGTCTGCTCCATTCGCCTCTATCACTTTTCAGGTCGGTTTTATGATGTTACGAAATTTGATTTAAGATATAAAAATATTTATGTAATATATTTTGTTTACCGTAGTTAATTTGCAGTATATTTTCTCTTATTTTTAGAAGTTAGTTGATAGCAAATAGGGTCGGACTTCAATATCGAAGAAAGAGAGCTCACTGAATGTACGAGATTAAAACCGAAACCCTAATTTGGAAAACTTAGTTGGGCCGTTTGAAAAAGAACTGAGTTGTAGTCGATAAATTTTTGACAATTTTGTGACAAACGTTGAAACTAGATGATTTCAACGCTTACGATCGGTAGCCAACACCAAAAAATGGTATCGCTCTCAGCTAGTTTTCGTTCGACCGATCTCGGAGTGCCATCGTCGACTTTTTCTCGTGTTTTGAAAAGTTGCCTTCTCTTTCCAATGTCTTAAGATTCCCTCGAGGAACCGTGCTCAAATTTGAATCTTAAAGGAAAGAGAACCTATACCATTGTACATACATTCCACTAAGAAGCAGTGCTCGAACATGAATTTAAAAGGAAACAGAGCCTATACTACTGTACATACGAGATTAAAATCGAAATCCTACATTCCACTGAGAAGCAGTGTTCGGACATGAATTTCAAAGGAGACAGAGCCTATACAAACGGGATTAAAACCGAAACCCTAATTTGGAGACCCTATTTGGGCTCTTTGAAAAAAAAAATCGAGCCACTTTTGTTATGTACAGTTGATAGCTTATATCTTATTTAAACATTATAAACATCGTACTTTGAATCTTATTTCTGTTTCTCATTCTTAACCTACGATCTTTTCTAACGGCGGATTGAGATTCAAGCCCGGACATTGGTTGATGGATGTTTTTGAATTTACAGAACGCGGCCGTGTTTCAAATCTACGCGATTCTTTCTCGAGCATTCACCTCCTCGTCGGCTCAATCCAACGGCGACCCACCAAGCTACAAGGCAGTAGCAATGGGAGGATTTGGCACCGGAGCACTACAGAGCTTCTTCCTAACGCCGGTGGAGCTGGTGAAGATCCGCCTACAATTACAGACATCAACCCAACAACCAATTTCTTCTTCATCATCATCTCACAAAGGCCCATTAAGCGTCGCCAAAAGCATCTACAAAACAGAGGGATTAAGAGGCATTTACAGAGGACTTACCATAACCATGCTCCGAGACGCCCCTGCCCATGCCGTCTATTTCTGGACCTATGAGTGCATGAGGGAGCAGTTTCAACCCGGCTGCCGGAGCTCCGGGGAAGAGAGATTCAGCACGGCGTTGGTCGCCGGAGGGCTCGCCGGAGTTGCCAGCTGGGTTTTTTGTTATCCGTTGGATGTGTTGAAGACAAGAATTCAAGCTCCGACACAAAGGTTGTCGCCGAGGTATAAGGGAATTGTGGATTGTGTTAGCAAGAGTGTTAGGGAAGAGGGTTATAGAGTGCTGTGGCGAGGCCTGGAGACGGCTGTTGCTAGAGCTTTTGTGGTGAATGGGGCCATTTTTAGTGCTTATGGGTTAACTTTGAGGTGTTTATTTAGTAATGGAAGCAATTAGATAGAACAGTAAGGGTTTGATTGCCTACTAACACCCTTTGATTTCTTGTTTTTCATGTTATTGATCACTTTTGTGACATCTAATAACGTAGCAAATATGGGTATGGGTTAGATTTATACGAACTATTTGATATCTAAATGGTCGACGAATAGGGAAGTGTAGTGCTTTGTGTCATAATCACACTCTTGCAACAGTGGGATAACGATTGTGCGACACTTATTGTAGCCCAACGAATAAGTCAACTGTGAGGAATTCGGAGTCTGTAGACAATGTTGGCGTATGCTCGAGTCTCGAGTCTTGAGTCATGTTTGAGAGAATTTGAAAGAAAGTAATGTTATAAGGTGGTATATGCTCGAATCTCGAGTCATGTTTGAGAGAATTTGAAAGAAAGCAATGTTATAAGCTAAAAATGAGTAAGCAACAACGACAACGACTTTGATAACATATAACAGAGGTAGAAAGAAGTGATGACAACTAGTTGTATCCTCTTATAATACATTTGGAGCATTTTAGCTTGGTGAATAGCGTAGACATGATTTTAATGAACGGTCGTACACAAAGTTTATTAGAAGATTGGTCTAAAATTCCTGAAAAATTAGCTTTTTATGATTAAATCGAGAATAATCCTGCAAAAGGTGGATTATTCAGAGTAGGTTCCATGGACAACCGAGATGGAATAGCTGTTGGGTGGTTAGGACACCCCGTTTTTAGAGATAAAGAAGGGTGCGAACTTTTTGTACGCCGCATGCCGATCTTTTTTGAAACATTTTTGGTTGTTTTGGTAGACGGCGACGGAATTGTTAGAGCTGATGTTCCTTTTCGAAGAGTAGAATCGAAGTAGAGTGTTGAACCGGTCTGTGTACAAAAAATGCGTACAAAAAATGGGTTTGGAACGAGCATGTAGTTATAGACAACACGTCTTGGACAACCATTATCCAAAACTAAGGTAACTGATAAAGTTGTCGGATATTTTTGAATTAAAAAAAAAAAAAAAAGTTTAAAAACAAATTTTTTTAAAAGGATAATTCTATTAATTTACAAAATAAAAAAAACGAACGGTAATCCAATGGCTGCGTTTACTGACACGTGGCAATATTACACGCGTGTGGGCCCCATATAATTTAAACGAGAAGGAGAGCGCGGAATGATAGCTTTTAAAACTTAAACAAACTCCTCGGGCCCCACCACATGGAATTTATATTATTCGCCAAATTTCAAAATCCCCAACGTATCCCCATCAAAACGCTGCCGTTTAATTCCTGCACCACCGTCACCACCGTCCACCACCGTACTCCCACCGTCGCTCAACGCCTTTACATCCCCACGTGCACCTTCATCACGAGCTTGGCGCGTGTCTTTCCCTTCGAAGGATTCAAGGCCACTCTCTTTTGTCCCTGGCTTTGGCTTTACTCAAACTCTCAGGCTCTCTGCTCACACCCACATTCTTACTCTTCAAACTTCTTAAAGGGAGCTTCTGATTTTGCTATTTGAGATTGTGGTTGGCTCTGATTCAAGCAACTGAGTTGAATCGGATTCGAAATTTGAATCGGTGTTTGTTTTCGGATCGGATTTAGAGCGATGAACGGAATGGGGAGACAAGGCCAGAGATCTGAAGCGGCTGTGAGGAATCACCAAAGGCAGTACTCCGATGACTATTTGGACGCCGCGTCAAATGGAAGATGGCTTCAAACAGCTGGTCTTCAGTCTCTCTATTCTAATACTTCTGCTCCACAGGTATAAATTTATTGCTATGTAGACCTCGTGCCTGTTTTTGAGTTCAATCGACGAGCTATGTGAGAATGGATGGCATTAGTTTAATTTCCTTGTTCATGTTTGTGTTTTCTGTTGAATCCCAGTTCGAGTAAGAAATTGAAGTTTGTAAGTAACGCATCGTCTTGGATTTGCGTTACTTTTGGAAACCTTTAATGATGTGTTTTTACTTCAATTTGTTGTTTTCTAGTGTGTGGTTGTGTTGATTTTTGTACCGAATGGTTGAAATGAAAACAGGACTTTGGTTTTTCTGTCGGTGGGGGAGGGCAAGGTTCAAGAATGTATAGTAGAAATGCACAGAGAAGCTTTGGTGGGATGAATGAGTATTACATGGAGCCATCAACTCCTCCTGGGAATTCACGGCCGTCGAGCCAACGTAAAAGTCGGGAGGATTCGCCGACCGATTTCAGTCCCGGACTCCTGGATCTGCATTCGATTGATACAGAACTGCTGCCTGAGGTAGGACTAAACTCACTTCCACATTTCTTATTACCCTTTTGAATTTGCTATCCTTTGTTGTTTTTTCAGAGACCTAGGATGCCGAATTATCATGGGCAATGTGTTTGGATTTTGCTGTTGAATTCTCAGAAAATAACTTGACGATCCATGAGGTTATGGATTCAATAAGTGAATTTATCTTTCACCTCCTGCTATATTAGACCTGTTGATCCTAAACTGATAATGATGGTGTCTGTGCACACAATCCTCTGCATTTGGAACCTTAGACTTGAAAGCTATTGTTGCTTTGAAGCTGATATTGAATTATTGATCATATCAAATTAATACAAAAGCCTGCTCGATAATTTTGCCGCATTTCGATTTTAGTTCTATGCAATTGTAGAGGCTAGAGATATGGTAGGTAGAAATTCTAGTTCCATGCATTCTGGGGCTTTTGGAGCTGAGATAGAGTTATCTCATATCACTTGTTGGGAGGTTTGAGAAATCTCATAGTGTGTTATCTCGTGCAGGATCGAGGCTTTGACGACTCAGAAGTCTATATTTCAAACAGCATTCAAACAAGTAGACCGCAGGATTTGACAGAGAACAATCTCTTGAAAAGTGTGGCTGCAGACAAAGAGAGGGCAAACTCTGTTGCAAAGATCAAAGTTGTTGTATGTATTCTTCTATGAATGTCTTTATTTCATTCCTACCTCTGAATTGTGTGTCCCGTTTGCTTCCCTGACATACAACGCCATACCTTCGCAATTTATATCCATAAGCTGCAACCCCGGATCCGCATTGATAATGTGTGTGTTTATGTATATCACCATTTCAGTTAATTGTTTCAAATCGTTTGATGTATCTGTTTATAATCTTGTTCGTGTCTATTGCAGGTGCGTAAAAGGCCACTGAACAAGAAGGAGTTGGCAAAGACTGAGGAAGATATCGTTGAAACAACTGCTAATTATTTAACAGTTCACGAGACTAAACTCAAGGCAAGCAAGCTTTACTACCTAAATACTGCTTTCTTCAAAATTCTGAATTGCAATGCTGTAATCGTTTTTCGTCTCCATTTTTCGGCTAAGCAGGTCGACCTTACAGAATACGTGGAGAAACATGAGTTTGTTTTTGATGCAGTGCTGAACGAGGAGGTTTCAAATGATGAAGTAAGTATATTACAATTAATTGAATTGGAAAGTATAAATTGGCCGAGGAAGAATCCTGAGAACAGAAAAAGTTTTTGTGCAAGTTCTTAGCATGCCTTATTTTTCGTTTCGGGATCTAGGTGTACCGGGAGACGGTGGAGCCAATTGTTCCCATAATATTTCAACGAACAAAGGCAACCTGCTTTGCATATGGACAAACAGGTGATTTGCTGTTAGTTGGCACTTGATGCTCCTGCTGGCTTGCTTCGTCAAGAAATCATAGTTGGTTTTGTTTATAATAGAAATTCCTTTGTTCTTTTTAGATGCCATCAAATTCATGTTTCCCGAACTGATTTTATTAGTTCTTGCCGTTCTGCTACTTAAAAATATCGTCACGTTCTTTCGTTAAAGCATCATCTTTCGTGCTTTCTATTGCACAGGGAGTGGGAAGACTTATACCATGAAGCCATTGCCTCTGAAAGCATCCAAGGACATCTTAAGATTGATGCACCATACATACAGGAACCAGGGATTCCACTTGTTTGTGAGCTTCTTCGAAATATATGGAGGAAAGCTTTATGATCTTCTCAATGATCGAAAGTAAGTTATTGTCTCTATCCGTCTACCACGAAATAGCAGTTGCTAGGCTTGTTTAGAAGCTAAGGCTTTTGTTCTGCAGGAAACTTTGCATGAGAGAGGACGGTAAACAACAAGTTTGCATTGTGGGTTTGCAAGAGTATAAAGTATCTGATGTGGAGACCATTGGAGAGCTCATTGAAAAAGGGAATGCCACAAGAAGCACTGGAACAACTGGTGCAAATGAAGAATCCTCTCGTTCTCATGCCATACTCCAGCTTGCTGTCAAGAATTCAATCAGTGGTAAAGAATCAAAGCCGCCTCGCTTGGTTGGAAAACTCTCTTTTATAGATCTTGCAGGAAGTGAACGTGGTGCTGACACCACCGACAACGACAAACAGACAAGGTATAGCTATTCCTCAATCTTCACATTTCTGCTCAATTGATGACACGACTACTTTCCTGATATATTTTATTCAACATAAAGTGTGTGCATGGTTCTCTTTACAAGGAAAATAGTAGGTGGAGTTGGTTTGAGTTGATTTTTGGCAAATGATAATAATAAACGATTGCTTTTGGATTGACTAAACCATTCAAAATCTATTGGAACAGAATTCAGAAGCATCTGAAAATGACTTGTAATGGGCTTATGCGATGAAGAATGATTTGCTCGAAAAAATTGTGAGATCCCACATTGGTTGGGGAGGAGAACGAAGCATCCTTTATAAGGGTGTGGAAACCTTTCCCTAGCGGACGCTTTTAAACCTTGAGGGGAAGCCTGAAAGGGAAAGTCCAAAGAGGACAATATCTGCTAGTGGAGGGCTTGGACCGTTACAAAAACATTTTGTGAACTCGTTGAGCAAATGACTTACCATGTATGTTCCTATTTTCTGCCTGTTCAATTACACTTTTTTAACTATTGCAGAATAGAAGGTGCTGAAATCAATAAAAGCTTACTTGCTTTAAAGGAATGCATACGAGCTCTTGACAATGACCAGGGCCATATTCCTTTTAGAGGCAGTAAATTAACGGAAGTTCTAAGGGACTCATTTGTTGGCAATTCACGCACCGTCATGATATCTTGTATATCGCCCAGCTCCGGTTCGTGCGAACACACTCTCAATACCTTAAGATATGCAGATAGGTAAGCAGTAATTCTTTCTTGATGCAGTTTAATCTCCAAACTTCTTGTTAGATGCTTATTCTGAAAG